GACTGCCTGGGTAATCCCTTCACAAATTAAGTAGATGAAAATTGGTCAGGGAGAATGGAGAGAATCCTCATATTGTGACCTTCTATAGAGAACACACAAACAAGCAGACAATAGGTAACAGCGCTCTTATTTATCATATGTTAATCTGCTAGCATTGCTCCCCCTCTGGAATAGCATTTCATTAAAAAGAGGACCTCACTGAATGAAATCTTGTCAATGTTTAGATGCCAGGAGCATCGTAAAAAAAAAAACAGCCAGACATAATAAGTTGATGTGTAAGCATAGATCTGAAAATGCAGAGGACACATTTTCTCCCTCACACAGAGTAAATCTTTCATAAATCTACTTACTTTAATCTGTGAGGCTTCGTAATATTGAAGGTAATGCATAATCAGCAAGCATGAGCTTATTTGATGAAATTATCAAGCAGAGTTGCCAAATCTAGTTTAATAAATGGAACATTAAAATGATATCTTCTAAGTTCAGACTCTCCGGACTTGTGATCACATTTACCCATGTCGTATGTATTTTAGGTAAGAATGACTGACATTTAAAACAAATAAACACTGACGGACATGTTACATCTAGAAGCAATCATGTTGCATTAAGTAACATAAATGCTGTGATGGGTCCCATAGACCCAGATTGATGTCCAGTAAGAGCTTTGAGATATTCTGGGAACAAGTGTAACAAGTGTCCCTATGCTCACTGACGCACACACTTAACAAAACTGCATTAAGCCTTCAGTATATTAAAAATAATATCGAGGTCTTTAATCTTAAGGAGGCTCACTGAATTGGAAAAAGTCCAGATGAAAGAAAAATTGACGCAGTGATTCAAATTTGCCTTTGAGCTATTTCACATTCAGTTTCTTTGTCTTGTCTCTCAATGTTTTCTGTCTTTGAGGGTATAATTCAGTCTCCTCCCCTTGCTGTATTTGTGTGTGTGTCATGTCTCAGGCTGTCATGTAGGATAATACCAGACATTAATTACCCCCGCTGTCTGAGGTGAACGTCACTAGAGGCTTGAACTGGATGTGAACCAGCCGTTACTGAGAGCGGGCAAAGTCTATTAAATGTCATTATTGAATCTTCAACCCAATTTAAGAGTGAACGCACAACGACTGGCCGCCTGGCTTCTAGCTGGGGTTTCTTTACTCAATTCCCAGCCTCCTTTGAGAAAGTCTATCGACAATGGTCCAAACAAATGAAACAAATTTGTAACAGAGGAATACAGAATGTATTAAAAGCTTCTGGTGTGCTGCTGGTGCTGGAGAGGTTCGGTCTAACTTTATCTGGAGTTAGTTTGCTACCTATTAATGAACAGGAACTGACCTTGTAGCAATGTTTCCCTCATGAGAAATAGAAAATTACTGACTCAGGTTACTTAAGAAATTTTCATTTGAAACTTCAGTTTTCAATTTCTTTAAAAAAGATGTTCATGCTTTAGAAAGGAAACTTTTTGAAATCCAGTTGGCAAAAAAAGTTTTTTATAAAATACAGTTTAAATGTTATTGCATGCAATACAAGGCAATCATGCTATATTTCCAAAGGTGGTTTCATCGGCATGACACTTTTTTTAAATGTAGCGGATGCAATTATTTTAAGCATCAAAAGGCCATGAGTGCAAAGTCCTGTGATTCCTTAATGTAATGTCACAGCAAATATACTGTGGATTGTTTTCTTCTACCAGTCAATATTAGATGATAGTAAAAATGAATTCCTGAATAAAAACACAAAATCCTGCTTACTACAATTATGTTGTGAACACGGCTCAAGACAAATGGTCAATAGAGTCAACTATGATCAAGGAAAATATTCTTACAGTTATGTATCAGTGTTGAATGTTCATGGACTCTACAGAGCAGCCATTGTTGCATGTGAGAGCATGTAATTGACAACATTGAAATGACCACATTCAGTTAAGGTGAGCTAGTTTTAGGCTCCTGATATTGTGCATGGCTGCTCCCTGGCATGGGTTAAAGAGCATCTAATGGCACAGATGAGTTGCACCTGGGCCTTCTGTGTCAGGTTGCAGTCAAAATACCCAGAATGCTTCTAGTCTTTGCTCAGGAAGGTTCCTAACTGAGTGAAATGACCAGGAAGCATTTATGTGGCAGGCATGATAAGAGAAGGTCAAATTCTCCACATTCAAAAGAAAGGTGCTTCAGTGTTTCCATTCTTATCTGCTTCAACATAATGGACCATCCTTTATCTACTCTCTACTTATTTCAGAAAACTGTCCTTCTGTCTGTGTGGCATCTTATCACCTTCACACCTGTATTTTTAAAAGGGCCCAAGAAAGTCCAGTGTTGAATTTGGTGCAATGTGGACTGTTGCAACTGTTTTTGTCCAGGAGAAAATGGAGGCAACACAGTGCCAATGGTGTCTGACAACACAGCCTAAACAGCACAATTGCGTAAACAACAATCAACAGTGAACACAATTCAGGCACAAAGGGTTACGGGCGGAGGGCGAACAAAAAAACAAGCCCTCTTCCTCATCGTAGTCCCTACTCCCCTGACTGACAGTTTCACACAAGACAAAGAAAAACCTGACTAACAAACTAAACCTGTCCTTCCTAACTAATAAAACACATTCAGGCCTTCAACCATATTGCCTGGTGAACAAAAAGTGATGTGTACAATGAAATAAGGAAAATAACAAACTAAACCCACCAAACAAACCCTGAATCACAAAACACATGCCTCTCTGGTTACCATTCAACAATCCCAAAGCAAAACTCATTCACAAAACACACACACTTGTTAACACAACGAGCAGCACAGAGGCAAACTGATCAAGTGAAATCTCAGCAGCCACTCCCACATCACAGGGTATTTTATACTCCTGCCCATGAGGACAAGAGAGCCTGATTGGTCGCTGCGTAATTGGCCTGTGGGCGGTGCAGGAAGGTGCAGGGCGGTGCTCCAGGAGGAACCCCCTGGAGGTGAGTAGGGTGAAGGACTGCTCCACCTGTGGGTAAAGAAGAGAGACTCTCCCACATCTTAATCATTACCAAGGAAAACCCAGAGGGACGTAACATGGACACACAACACATTAAATATTAATAAACATTAAATAAACAGGCAACCAGGGGGGCTGGCACATATTAATGCTGGCACATATTAAAATTTCAGAAAGAAGGTTTCACCACTGGCCAAGCAAACAGCTCATTCCAATCAGACTGACGATGCACTAGTGAAAGCAAAGGCTATCACTATCAACCCACAAGTTATTGCAGCAGCAAGCTTGATGGAGTCATGTCATAACATCCAGTGTAAGAGCAGTCACATTTCCCCAGCACAGCAGCTGTCCCTTTTTTATAAGGACAGCAGTCCTTATAAATTCTCTTTCACAACTGTCCTTGACCGCAACATTTATCATAAGGTCAAGGGAAAGTAAGGATATTTTCATTTTCGACCACAGCTCCTGCCTCCACCTCCTTACTGTTCATCTCACTACATATGACACTGCACTTTCTGCATTGTCACCTAATATTAGCATATGGTGTAGATGTAGAGGTTATGAGTCAATTCCCACATGGGACCTTAAAGTAAAAGGTCAGAGTTCTGACCTCTGAATTATCTGCTAGGAGAGAATAAAACAGTGGGAGTATGAGTTAAATAAGATGAAGTCAAATATTAATGAAGGAGAGAAGGAGGAAGAATGTTTCATGATCGGAACATATGAGAAGAAGTATAGGTGAAGGATGTTGGAGACGTGATATGACTCAGTTTGGTCAAAAAAGCTGATTTAGGGAAAGAAGTTGTGATTCTTCTAACTGAAATATACAGGTACTGACAAACATGTGTTAATCTCACCTTTATGTTTAGGATTCAGTCACATAATTATAGCATCTATGTCCCTAGCTACTCTGCAGGCAGTCTTAAGAAACACTTACAGTTGTATTCAGAACTCCACAGTCTTGTCACAGCATTAAATACGCATGAGTTGCGGCACGGTGTAAGCCATGATTAAAATGCGTCGCTTCCACCACTAAGACTTGTCTCTGGTGTATCAGATGGAAGCTTAGCACCGGCATATGCTCGCTGCAATGATCCGCCGATGGATGACAGGTGGTTATCCAACTATTTGCATAATTACGGGTGCAACGCGCAGACTGCTAGAATGTCATAAACAAATCCATATGGCCTTTTGGGAAAATCCAGATGATTCACACCACGGCTCACAGATATACTCTACTCACTGTCTTCCCTGTGTAACAGGCATCAGCAGGATTTCTCACTGAATGTTTTAACTGAGTGTGAAGTGAGGAGCAGCTTCATTCCCTCTACTTGTTTTGGCAGCTCTGATCGAATGTGGGAACTTTATACCAGGTTGCATTTGTCGATTGGTTAGTGCGGCAGCTGTAATACGGTCCAGCGTTTCCTGTGCAGTTTTCTTCTTGCGGTTTGATTGCCGGGGTAATTTTGAGACTCAGTTTCATTCTCTGGAAGTTGTCCAGTATCAGCTTCAGTTGCTAGTGCGGTGGGTGGAAATGACCCTTATCTTGAGAGTCATTCCTGATGTATCGTATGTGCAATTTTGCCCCAATTATGACTATTTATAGAGTGGCCACGCTGGACAAAGGTTTAGATGATCATTCACATATTTGTTTCATAGCTGTCTGGGTAATTTTCCGGCTAAACCTGAATTAACAGTATATTTCTTTCACTATAGCAGGACTCACGCCAAGCCTAACCTTCCATAGTTGAGTTGTAGTGTTTCTTTTTGGACTCAGTAGGCTTTTTATAAACACAAAAGTCCTTATAATCACCACTTCCTATGTCTCAGCTGGACTGTTGGGGCTTGTGGCCAGAAAGAGCAGAAAAGTGTAACTGTTGGAACACTGACTTGGAAAGTGATCCGCTCTGTAAGAGGATAAAGCAATAAGTGGTTTGTTGTTGCTGTAACTCTTTTTTTCCCCTGTCTCCTTATTTCCCCTCCTTCATATTCTTTTCTTCCCACACTCCTCATACTCTGCTTTCCCCTCCACAGACATGCCTCTCCACGTCCGTCCTAGCAGCGATCCCTCCCTGACCGCTGAGGTCCCAGTCGGTCCAGAGGAACCGTCCAGAAAGAACCCAAGTCGCTGGTCCACAACTGCTGGGTTCCAAAAGTACAGCCAGAGACCAAACACAAGCACTGGCACTGGCAGTCTGGAACGAAAGGTAACATATAACATATAATGTATAACATATAAATCTGCACTGTGTATTAACCTTGATTTTTGACTGCTATTTGGAGAAATACTCCAAAACTATTTTTATTATTATTTTTCGTTATAAAGGTGTCAATCTAAAAGCCAATTAAAACTCCACAAAGCACAAAAAGAACTTTGCATTTATTTTTGTATCCAACAGCATATACTGATTCTCTTGTATCTTACCTTGAAGCTATTTTTCACAGCGCTGCAGATATGCTGCAGCAGCGTCAATTATAATGTCAGAGATAATGTTCTCTGAAATCTTCTAACCTCCAGCAACCACATTTTTTTTAACTTCCTCACTTAGCTACCTTCTCTCATTTTCATTCCCACTCTCCTCCGCACCCCGAATCAAAGAAATAACCATGGCATATGAAACCTGTGCTGCCCTCCTCGCAGATATCCAGCAGTGGCATAGATAGTCCTTATCTGAAACTTTAGTTCATTCTGATAACGCCCTTTCTTGTCTTCCCAAAAGACGAGGGGAGATTGTTAAACACTTTCCGTTTGTTCGAAATTCACCTTTTCTGTGGCTTTTTAAGCCTCTGATTATAAATCCTAAAAAAGTGGAGCTCAGGTATATCCTCCCTGCGGCTTCCAAAAAAGAAGTGAAGCCAATTAACTTCTAAAATGTCTGACCCATGTGGTGCTGATAGACCTGTACTTCTTGCAGAGAAAGAGATATGTTCCCGATGAAACAGGGAGGTTAAAAAGAGAGAGATGATTGAGTGCTGGGAACGTGACATAGCAACCCTCCATGTGATTAGTTTGTCTCAGAGCATCGTCTGATAATCCTATTTAAAGACACTTTAGTTTTCAGAGCCACGACAATTTAACAGCACACTGCGCTGTGGGGTTGGAGAAGAAAGTTTGGGGTGAAATGGTTGTGAGACCTTTTTATTTAGTCAGAGAAGCTTTCTTTTTGGTCCATGTCAAACTGAGCAAATGTGTAAGAATGTTTGTGCCTCAAAGAGAATGAAAAATGGAAAAGCAGAAGACCACGAGTGTCAATAGATGCACTCTCTGACTGTCTAATGGAGTTAGGCCCTTTTTACACAACAGGGATTTAACAACTCCAAACAAAACATTGAAGTACACAATGTGCTCCGAACAAGGAACACATTTTAAAATACATCCAATGATATGTGGCTGTGCTCGAAGCTATAAAGCTGCACTGCACCCCTGATTTCGAAATAAAATCTGTATTAAAGTTGAGATGTGATTGACAACAGAATATCTCTTAAAATAATATTTCTAGATTTAGTTTTTTTCTTTAGATTTCAACAGTGCCTGAGTGAAGGTAATGGTCTCGTATCCCATTAGGTTCTTGACTATCTGCTGCAGGTGATCAGTTATCTGAATTAAATCAATTTCACTCATCTTCCTGTCACTCGTGACCGGTATGAAAAGTAATGAGCTAACACCGGGAGGCTGTCATTTTTATTGTCCAATTTCTGACAGGGCTATTAGATTTTTTTTCAATAAAAACCGAGTCTTAGTCGCTGTAATCCTCAGTATCTCTTTTTCAACTGTCACGTATTCGCCACGGGTCCAAGATAAAGTCTATTTTTATGCAATCAGCAACAGATGCTGAACGTATTGCATTGACTGTGATATATTTATGTCTTGGCGCTCACATTGTTCTTAAAGGGACCATACATCGGTGGTAAGAGCTGCCAAATGGATACAAGCCATATACTCACCATACACAGACTCTCTCTGTTGTCTGGCATTATTTTACACTACAGCCACGGTTCATTTAATTCAGTTACGGCTGAGTCAGGTTCAGTTCTGCTAAATCTCCACAACATAGGCCAGTGGGAATCTTCAGTCATCAGGTAGCACTGTAAACTCATCACGTCTCTAGATGACTTTACAATTCCTCATACTCTGAGTTCTCCACGCTTAGCAGTAACTAAAGGGATTAGCCAGTGGATATGAGCTTGTTGATTTACTGTTACCTATCTGCTATCTAGGTTTCTTTGCATTTTATGATCTGATGTGTCATAAAAGTTTGTGGAGAGAGGTCATTTGTCGCAGCGTATCGCGCGGTGGGGGCACCGAGGCCATGATGGCTATCAGGGGCCGTCTCAGTTGAGCCCACGTGTCCGGCTGGGTTTTACAGTCCTGTCTGCAGTGCTTCCTCTGGCCTCGTCATGCCACATCCAACGGCACTAAAACACACATGGCTTATTACAGCATGTAAGGGATAGTGATCTGTCTCCTATTCCTTCACTCTCTGTTTTTGGATCGTCTGCTGTCATTTTGTAAAATGGAGTTTTAGAGCTATGTTGAAGAAAAGAAAATTCTGAGATTACAAGAATGAAGTCATAATATTATCATTTGTGGAATAAGAAGCTAAGAGAACCCGAAGTCAATCTCTTTGTGAAACTACAAAACCACTTTGAGTAACACGTAGATATAACCAACAATATACAGTCACCCATTTCCTCCTCCATGAAAGAGGCAATATCGTAATATTATGACTTGAAATCTCACAAATTACTCACAGTGAATAACTTAGTTCATTCTGCAGTAACTTTAAAGTTACGTTCTTTCTCTCTGTGTTTTTGTGATGTCTCATTCGAGAAATCTAAACTGTCTCACTCTTTAGCTGCTTTGTCATTACTCATCAAATATTAGATGCTGCTCATTCTTTGTTCGTCTTGCTGAATCATTGTCTCTGCTGTGATTTTTAGTATTAATTTGCTTTCATTTATATTCTCACATCTTCAGCCACCTTGACCTTCAGTCACTGTGATTTCAAAGTCAAGGCCATCCTGCCCGGAGTGTAATACAGCGTACGTGTGTGTGTTTTTGTGCTTATGGCCATTATAATAAGTCTGCTGGTGTTTGACACTACCTTGACCGGAGCTTTTTAGAAGGTGCTTTTTGTGTAATGTAAGAGCTCAGCTGTGTCTGTCTCATTATAAAAGGCCTCTTATTAGCGGCTCAGGTTTAGCTGTGGGGAGGGGTTAGGGGGGGAGGGTGGAATGGAGTGAGCCTTGAATGAACAACGCAGTGTCGGTGTGTGGCACGGCTCCAAGACAAACTAACCAGCACCCACCACAAAACGTCTGTCACATAGCTGCGATAGACAGCGCTAATCCCAAAAACTGTCACGCCAAAAATGCAGACGACGGATCAGTCTTTGAAATTGCTGATGAAGGATTTTTTTTCAAATAGGCGATTATGCACTTAATCATGTCTTTGTTGCAGCAGTGGTATGATCAATGTAAGTGTAAGTCAATCTTCTTCTGACAATAGTTTCTGTGTCATACTCAAACAGTGTTAATGTTAATCTCTCCACCAAATCCTGTTTCTCCGCAGGGCAGAGGAGCTCATGCCTATCGGAGTCTTCCGCGGGATGCGAGCGGCTGGTCCACTCAGTTCCAGAGAGAGATGACTAGATCCTCCCTGAGCGCCAACCATCCAATGGTGGACCAGTGGCTAGACAGACAGGAGCAGGTATACTTCATTTACATTTTATTTCCACAGTGCCAAATCACAACATCAATTATCTTGGTATTAACCCATTACGACCTGCTGTCCGGCACCAAGGAGAAATGCAGAGAGAAAAACTTAAACCAACAAAGCCGGCAAACTCGTTGAGATCCCCTCTTCTTCGTCCTCCTCCTCAAACATATATATGCATATGTCGCATCTGGTCCTTATTGGTTAAATATGTAAAAAGGGTACAAATATTCTTGTCTACCTATTAGCAGTCCATAGCTTAATGCCACATATCATAACAACTATTCCTGTGAGGTTCTACACTTTGATGTTTTCAGATTATGAACAGAGCACTGCTACTTAATCCGTATTCAGTCTTGGTAAATACACAAAGTTGTGGTACTAGTTTTTGTCTTGTGATAAAAAAGTTGGATCTGTGATTTCCTGTAAAGAGGTTGAGTACAAAGTCAAACATTTATTATTATATGGATACAAGAATAGTTCTTAAACCCACTCAGCCGCCATGTTCCTGTTATGATATATCTTACAGAGTGTCAGCAACATTTAACATATGCCCTCAGGCAGCGTGAGACGACATGTCTGGCACCTGTATTTATACCACCTATCTGCAGATTGCCTATTCCTTTAAGTTTCATCTATCCTATTCTACTGTCACATCAAGGTAGCACAGCGGGGACAGATGACAGAGCAGTGATTACAGCGACACTCACTCCTCACTGCCTAAGCCAAAGAGAAACTTAAACAGTGACAGATCTAAGATTTCATGCTACAGTGTAATACTTGTCTTGTTGTATGTGGCAGTACTTTTTCATAAAGTAACATTGTAGAGTCATCGCAGGCTTGTCTCCTTACTTTACACCTCCTCGCTCCGTCGGCACTTTGTGATTGTCTCACTCCGTGACTGGTCCCTCTGCTCGTCAGCTTGTCAGAGGAGCGAAAAAAAAGTTCCCTTTAAAAGTTATTAAAAGTGACAGAGGCTCTCTGCTGGGAGAACAGGAATGACCTTGAGAGGTGTCAGAGACGCTGAGCTCGACGTGAAGAGTTTGCCTCTCAGTCTTTTGCCCATCGCTCCCTCAGCCACCTGATCTGACCCGTGTAGGAGGTGTTTAATTGATCTCTCTTTCATGCCGCGGAATAAGGAAAGAGCAAGGACTTGAAAGATTTAGAGTTCAGTGAATGCAAGCGCAACCGAGTGAGTAATAAAAGAGTTCAAATAAGATTCAATTAATAAAAGACTTTATTGAGATTCAAGTTAGTGAACCTGTGTCCGATGGCTTATTTCACTGACAAATCTCTCTAAAATCCTTTCTCTTTGCCCGAGTTGTCACTTAAAAGTCAAGGTTACAGTAATATAGGTTTCTAGGTGTTTTGACTGTGTTTTGAGGAAACATTTAAATTCTTCCGTTTTCCTTCCAGATGAGTCAGGTTAAAATAATACAATTAGAAAGAAGCTGTTTTGGTGCAACATATGTATGAATGCAGTATTGCTTGAATAGAAAGCCACAAAGAACTAACACATTTCTGCATTTCTAGGAGACGCTTGCTCTACCTGCTTCTTGCTATTATATTCACTTGTCTCATCGTGCAGCTGCAGCTTCTCCTCACAGATTGGTAGTTGAAATAATGAACAGTAGCTGGTTTTTAGTGTTAAAACTTCAGGGCTGTGAAGCTCGTCCATCAACACGATATTCAAGATATCTGCCTTTTAATAAACTCGGAATGGGGATGAAATGTCCATCCCTTGTTATTGTAGATGTCATATAATCATTATGAAAGGATATTTGTCATAACCTTTCAGATCCTGATACGTATGTTCACTCAAATTCATATGCTGAGAAATTGGTATTGACCTTTTCATTTAACTAATTTCTTTTGCAAGAAATGTATTTACCAAAATGTTCCTTTAACATTGAATAGTAAGAGCTGCTACAGTTATTATTTACTATTTACTACTTACTTTCATGAACATGAAACTATATCTCAATTTAAGTAATTGTAATTGTAGATGAAAGAGAATGCACTTTAACACTATGAACATTATTTTTGTAATGTACTTTTAATATTACTCTTATTTGTATAATTTACATGACAGCTATACGAAGAAGATGATTCACAAAAACACAAATCCATTCATTAGACGTGACACAGTGTAGGTTTCAAAGGGCCACTTAATTGCCCCGTTGTTTCTTTTTCTGTCACTCGCTGAATATCAGCCTTGATCGCTGCGTTTCCCTCCTACACATGACACTTTGATATTTTGCTTCCTTTGTCGTTTTGATGGACAGGCAGCACAGCAGCATCGGATTGTTAGATTCTGAGATAAAAATATACAGGGTGGGTTAATTATAAAGAACTGAGATCACTGCTAAAGCGCCGACGGAGATAATGAGTTTACATGTGTACACTCACACACGTGCACGCTCACGCTGTATATGCCTAGGTTTTTGGAAAATCACACCAATTAGGTCTTTTTATTTATCACGGATAAATGTATCTGCTATACTTCATTGTTCTGCTTCATGAGTTAAATGTAAGAGCAAAGAAAATGGGCATCACATTCATTTCTCTCTGTTGACTGGAACAAATGAAGCACTCATTGCTGAATATAGCTGCTGTCAGACATGCACTGAAATCAAGATAATCTCATGAAGGGGCTGTATGTGAGAAAGCAAGTGTCCGAGTCAGTTGCTGCGGACATTCTCCAGAGTATCTCATGTCGGCCCCTAGTAAGAAGTCTGGATAATGTCCGAGAGCTCATGTTCTCCGGAGGATTTACTGGGAGCTAGTGGGTGTGTTGATGAAAAAAACTAAAAGAATACAACTATGTCAGGATGAAAAAGAAAAGCTATACACAAAAAAGACGCAGAAGAAGACAATGACATTCAAACGCTGTTCTCTATGTGCCTGCTGTGAACGTGTCTGAGCAGAGAATCTTCTGCTGAGCTCTTCATATATGAGGCAAACACCAGAGAAAGCCTCCGTTCTCTGGAGTTCATGTCTGAAAAAAGTTGTGTCTTTTCTCTCTTCACTGTTACTGGACCTGGATTTTAAACACTCCCTCATCAAATCTTCTCCTTTAATGGCTGCTCTGCCAGGTACCATTTGGTGCACTCATAAAGTGCTTTAGTTCAGCATCTATATTTAAGCAGACCTTCCCACCCCCTTGCTATAAATTAGGAATGTGATGTCTATTCTTAAAATACCAAAGACTTTCTGGGGAAGTTGGATGCACGACACCGTACAATCTGTGATTCAGTCGTCACCACAACCACCCAGAGGTGATGAAGTCAGAGATGCTTGCAGAGTAGCAACTGTAACTGCAGTAGTGGTTCTCCAAGGATTTAATTTCAGATTACACAGCGTGCTGTCTTTATAGGATGCAGTATTCTCACGTTCAGCATACACACCGATCACAAGGCCATCTCGTTCTAGTCAGTGTCTTATGTTTAGCTAACCAGTCAATAAATTCCCTTTGGTGTCAAACGGCTCTCTCTAAGGAGCTTCAGCAGACACACACACACACACACACACACACACACACACACACACACACACACACACACACACACTGCCAACCGTGCCATGGAGAAAAGCATTCTCTCTCAGCCCATGAAACCCAAGGCCTTATGAGTTATTGTTTACATAAACAGCTGACATTAACCAGCCTGTTATCCTACTGATGAATGCTAATGGGCCTTCCCACTCAGCCTCACACACTTGCACACACATGCTTACACACATTTGGATCTGGCTGAGTGCTTCTCCACAGTATTATTTTGATGAGGGACCACAGGCCGTTATCATGAGCCGTACCAGAGGAAGGACTGACACTGGTTATAGAGGGATTTACAAAGGACTGCAAAATGTATCTTTTGAGAAAAGATCTGGTTGCCAAAAAGAAAAGTAACTTTAGTTTAATGAGAGTTTTTTGGCTACAGAAAATATTATTTTGACCAAAAACAGGTATTCAAGTGTTTTGTTTTACCATGTGCAGCCCTAGATTCAACCCAGTAAGAGTGACTCACACAAGGGAGACAGAAATGTTTGAAGTTTATACCAAAAGCTCAGTTTTCAGGTTTTATAAATAGAACTAATAAGTATCCTTACATGGTTTGAATTCATTTATTCATTTATGAGTAATCTGCTTTGAAAATTCAGTTCCAAACTGTTTTTTTTGTATTTTAAGAGAGAGAGAGAAAGATACAGACACAGAAAGAAAGAAAAACAAACTATTACATAACAGAATCCAAAACATGTCTGAGTCGAAACAGCTCTGATCAGACATCTTTGATCAAGACTCCAGCTGTCGGAGTGCCTCCTTCTTTTTGTTGTCTAAATGAGACACCTTGTCTGGCGAGTTTTAAAGGAAACCCAAAGTGGCGAGGTGCCCGGCTAAATCATCGCGGCAACATGTTGAAAGAAGATGAGTCCGTTTGACTTCAAGCTGTTAGACGAGAGCGAGGAGCAGTGCGAACACACGCCTTTGCTTTTATATTCCCACATCAAACGCTTCTCACCAAACAAACACAGATTGCCATTTGTGGGCTTGTCAACAAAATGTTAGTTTTCGGGTCCTTTTTTTCTGCCTCTGTCACTTCAGTCAGAAGCCAGCAGTTGTTTTGCTGTTTTACTGCTCTTTGCACAGAGCAGCATTGCTATTACACATTTAGTGGCTGTTACAAATGAAGCCCAGGTTTATGAATATGTATTAAATGTTTTCCATTTGTAAATGATCTTGAGAAATGTCTCAAGCTTTAAAGTTTAATCCAAGTATTTTGTCAACGTTAGTTATTCACATTTTTGCTGTGTGGTTTGTTTGTGTAGTGCAGCAGCCACTTGATCTCAGATTCTCTTTGCAACTCGAGGTTAAGCTTAAAATAAAGTCTTAAAAGATCTCTTATGTTTGCATAATAGTCATAATGGACAAATATAACAGAAAAACACCCACACTGACAAATACAGGGATTCTCCTTTAAATACAAATCAACTTTGCT